TGGTGTTCAAAAGTCATTATTCATGCTTTTCTGAACTTTTAATTTATGACTACCAGTACTGGAAAAGTTGATGGTTACTCTTTATTACCACCCCACCTCATTAAAAGAAAAAAAGGATTTGGTATAGGGAAGGGCAAATAGTTTGACTGAAAGTCTCAGTCAAGTTCTTGGGTCTCAGTAGAGACAGGGACATGAAATAATACTTGCTAGGCATTTGCTGATAGATCTTGTAAAGAAAGTCAATACTAATTATGTTTCCCTTAAGCAAAATTTTTTATTCAAGTTTGTTCTGGTAAAAGGTCATATTTAATTTAGAGGTTTTTGATGCCTGGTACAGTTTTAGACACAAGGTATACTTTTTTAAAATCCTGTATCAAGGATGTATTATAAAATCTTAAGAAATTGTCATTCAATAAGGGAGGACAAAGTTGTATTTCTATATTGTACTCCTTTGATGAGGTGATATAAATAGGAATTGGCGGTGATTCTGTTTTTATGGTTAGCCATACACTATCTAGCTCAATTAAAACTTCAGAAAAGATCAATTCAAAATGAATTAAAGAGTTAAGTGTAAGGCCTGAAACTGCTTAACTTATAAAAGAAAGAGCAAGGGAAAATTATACAACATTGTCTAGGCAATGATTATTTTGATGTGACTTCAAAGGCACAGGCAACAAAAGCAAAAAACAAACAATTACATTATATTAAAATCTTCTGTACAGTAAACGGAAAGAAAGCAACAACCTATAGTGTGGGAGAAAATATTTGCAAACCATACATCTGATAAGGGGTTAATAACCCCAATATAATCTGGGTGCTGTGGGGTAAGCCTGTAATCCCAGTGGCTCAGGAGGCTGAGGCAGGATGATCATGAGTTCAAAGCCAGTCTCAGCAACATAGTGAGGCCTAAGCAACTCAGTGAGACCCTGTCTCTAAATAAAATACAAAAAATGGCTGGGGATGTGGCTCAGTGTTGAAATGCCCTTGGGTTCAATCTCCAGTACTAAAACAACCAAAAAAAATCCTAAATAAGTAAGAAACTCAATAAAACACACACACACACACACACACACCCCAAATTAAAAAATGGGCAAATGTCTTGAATAAACACTTCTCAAAAGAATAGGTATATTTGGCTAATAGGCATAAGAAAAATGTTCTCAATACCACTAATCATCAGGGAAATGCAAATGAAAACTACAATGAGATATCACCTTTATTTGTTTGAATGGCTATTATCAAAAATATGAAGGAGAAGTGTTTGGGAAAATACAGAGAAAAGGGAACCCTGGTAATTTGTTGGTGAGAATGTAAATTAGAACAGCTATTATGGAAAATAGTATGGAGGTTTCTCAAAAAATAAAAATAAAAAAATATAAAACTGGGCTGGGGATATGGCTCAAGCGGTACCTCGCTCGCCTGGCATGCATGGGGAACTGGGTTTGATCCTCAGCACCACATTAAAAAAAAATAAAGCTGTTGTGTCCACCAAAAACTAAAAAATAAATATTAAAAAATTCTCTCTCTCTTAAAAAAATAAATAAAAATTAAAAAATTTTAAAAAATAGAACTGTCATATGATCCAGTATTAAAAGAAATTGGCATCAATATATTGAAAGGATTTCTGTATACCCACGTTCACTATAGTATTATTCACAAAAGCTAAGATATGAAAATAACCTCAGCATCCACAATGGATGAATGGATAAAGAAAATGTATTAAGCATATACAATGGAATACTGTTCAGCTCTCTGAATGAAGGTAATTCTGGCATTTACAATAATGTAGATGATCCTGGAAGACATTGTGCTAAACAGACAATTACAGTAAGCCAGGAACAGAAAGAAAAATGCATGATCTTATATGTGGAATCTAAAAAAACCAAGGTCATAGAAGAGTAGAATGATGGTTACTAGTGGACAGTAACTACTGTAGGATGGTGGGGGTGGGCAGGAAGGAATGGAAAATTATTGGTCAAAAGATGCAAAGTTTCAGTTAGATAAGAGGAATAAGTTTTGAGATCTTTTGGGAAGTAGGGTACCTATACTCAACAATGTATTATATGTTTAAAAATAACAGTAAATTGCAAATGTCTCAGCACAAAAAGTGATAAGCAAGTGAGATGATGCATGTATTCATTGCCTTGATGTAATTTTTCTACATTGTGTATATGCACATGCCTAAAAAAATCCCATTTTAGCTGGGTGGGGTGGTACACACCTGTGATCCCAGTGACTCAGGATGCTGAGGCAGGAAATCACAAGTTCAAGGCCAATCTCAGTAACTTAGTGAGGGCCTAAGGAATTTAGTGAGACCCTGTCTCACAATAAAAAATAAAAAGAGCTAGGAATGTGGCTCAGTAGTTAAACACTCCTGGGTTCAATTTCTGGTACTAAACAAACGAACAAAGTCACATTATGCTCCATTAATGGATTTATCAATTAAAAATAACTTTAAAAAATCTTTAGAAAATAATGCACACAAATAATTTTCTTTCACTGTTATTAACTTATGTGTAGCTAAATAGTTGTTAAAGTTATACCTATATAACCTGAAAATAAATTATGCAATCTAGTGGCAAGGAGTCATTTATATTTCTATTATCATGCCTGATTTTTGTCAAGCAGAACCTCTGAACCATTTAAATGTGTTTTAATTACAGCAGACTAAACATGGCATGATAGGGTTTAGGTAGACATTCCTTTGAAGATTAATAATCATTCTTCTTATAATTACAAAAACTAGATTTGTGAATTTTTTTACCTTATTTTAATTTTTCTTGTGGGGTATGCTGTTGATACATATATACATTGTACAATATTTAAATCAAATTAAACATATCCATCTCCTCCAATATTTATCATTTCTTTATGGTAAAAACTCAAAAAATTTTAAAAAGGCCTAAACAATTATATAGCAATTATCTGGTATATTAAAGTACCAGCAAGATTTGTATTTCCTGAATGGGATACAATTTTCTAAGTTTCCTTCTAAATCCCATTGAGAAACTGGGAGTTCATTATCAGTCATGTATAAAAACTGTAATTTAAATGGGACATTTCATAAGCATTAAGCATTCAGTGATATTTTGTACTAATCTTTGTGATTTAGATTGTATGAAGTGTTCAATAGCACTCCATTTATCTTAGTAAGATTAAATAGAGGCTTTTGGACAAATAAATTAATAATGACCTTTTGCTAGTATCATTTAGGTAGAAAATGCCAGTTTCCCCAAGATATGTACTAGGTATTATATTCCAATTTCACTAGGATGTAATACTTAAGCCATATGGGCTATGAGAAATTCAAAGGAACACCCATGAGATATCAGCTCTCTAGAATAGTAACAGGCAGAGAAAAACTGCAACTCAAACTAATCTCACCCTATAAGGCTGCTTGGAACCCAGGAGTCTGCTGAACCTCTTTATCTGTCCACTTTGTAACTTCCTGCTAGGAAAGAGCACACATAACTTCCAGGTACATCACTGACCTGGTCTTTGGGTCAACTCAGAGAACTGGTGAGTAGAACTTCTCCTAAATACTATGTATTTGTTACTTACAAATGTATTTTATGTGTCTCAGAATATCATCTGACCTTGGTAAGACTGAAGTTCAGATAGTTAATGGAACTTAGTTGAGTTTTTGAGTATCCATTTCATCTGGGACTAGACTGCTGAGAATGTCAAAATAGAGATTGCAGAATGTTCTGTAAATACCCAAAGAACTTATAATTCTGATATGAAGTCTATGCACACATACTGAGTCAGCAGTCCAAGATGGTAACTCACATCCCAGGTTTAGTCTTCATGTGTATTTCCAAGACTTGGTCCATTACTGGACCATTGTGTTCATACATTCTGATCTGAACCAGCCTCAGCAGGATTTTTCAGGCTCAAATCTTCCCCAGGGAAATCTGGGGCAAAGGAAGGAGTCTTCAGAGTTCCTTGGAAATTACCCACACAATTTATTTTACCTTCTTATATTCTGTTTTATCACCTACATACTTATAACTTACTTAAGGATATGTAGATGAATATGACAAAATTCAAAATAATTTGTATGAAAGTTGCAACATCAAGGAAAAGTGAGCATAAGAATCAAATAGAGATTATACATATTACAGGTAAAAAATTATAATTTCTGGTGAAACACCTTTTATTCCACTGGTTAAATAAACTACTAAAATGAATATGAACGTATGACTTGGGTGAGGCTATTAACTGACAGCCTAAATGAAATTTTTATTTTACAAAGCAGGATGAATTCAAATTTTCTTATAAACATTAAAATCTAACAAGAAAAGTAAGTTGAAACTGATATGGAAGTTTCCCAAGCTGTGAAATTCAAGAAGTTGTATACATCACACAATCTATGTTTGCATCATTAACAAAATATTTTAAAGATTGCCTGAAAATGAAGACACTATTGGAAGAACAATTTCAATGAAAAACATTTCAATTATCTTATTTATGGTTCTCTTTCATAGTCAGAAAATTCTTATGTGGGAGGTATTTGAAAAATAGTAATGCATTTTCAAATACTGCATGTATATGATTCTTTGAGGAGGATCAAAGAAATCTCTTAGCTGACTTTATGCATTATTGACATAGTATATTATGCTGTCAATAGGGATCAATATTTGAGGTCTGAAATGCCTAGACATGAATCTGTCTCCAGTTGCATTATCTTTTAACAGTTAACACATTTCTAATTTCAAACCATTCTCTTCAGATCTTATTTATCAGAAAGAGTAAAGGGATAGTTAATAAATTATATAATTTCATTTTCTTTTCTTTCATGAGACCTTATTTTTTTCTTTTTTTGCTATTCCAATTCAATAGTATATGCATAGTTGAACTCACATCAATCCCTTGTTAATTGGTTCTTCTCTCCCCCAACACGTTCATCAATTCTTCTGTTTCTCACCCTTTGTATAATTTTTAAAGGGGTAATAGAAAATTTAACTCATAATACTTATTAATCACAAGAGAAATTTTACCTCTTTCAAGAGCATGTCCAAATGCTACAGCAAGCAGGAAAACCAAAACTCTCTTCATTTTCCCACCTGGGAATCCTGCAGCACCTCCTGTCCTTGGTAGGCTTCTATGTAAAAGACAATAGCCAAAAGTTACCTGTTCCCTTTACTAAGACTTCTGACTATGAGCTAATCAATTATTAATCTCTACACAGAAGCAAGGGACAGTTATCCTTGGCCCAAAAGAGATAAAATTATCATCAATCAAGGCAAATAGACACTCTGGGCATAATGTAGTGGAAAATCTGGGAGATTTTAATCATTAACTTGTCCAAATTCAAAAGAGCCAAGGTATATAGATTATTTTCCACTGTTGTTTTTCACTAGAATTGGTTTACAGTATTAGTAAGGGACACATTTTCTCCCTCTTCATAGTGCTATTTATCTTCTTTGCGCATTTCCACCTTTCTCATGTATTAATGGAAAATTGGAGATGTGATTTCTATTTCACTCTATTTAAATCTACTATAAATAATCATTGCCTTCAAATACCACAGTTCTAAGGTTGTAAATAAAAAGGGAAAGAAAGAATGAGAAGACAATTTAGTACAATTCCTTAAATCCCTAATTTCAATGCTATAAAACAATTTTGAAATGATGGTATAGCACTTTATATGTTAATTACACACTTTTTGAAGCACTGGTGTACATACTAAGTGAGGAAAATAACTAAAGAGGTTAAGTGACTTGTCCCAAATCAATGAGTTAGTAGATTTCCTCTAGATAGTTCTTTCTAACATTCCACAACTGATATGTTTTATGATAATATAACTTAGGAGTTCATAGTGGTATTAGAGGTCATGGAATCCAATAAATTTATTTCGCAGAAGAGAGAATTGACTCCCAGGAAAATTTTGTGACTGGCCCAGAGAGGCACAGATAGTGATCATTTATGGGAATTGGGTCAACCCCTAGTCCTCTTGTCAGGAAGTGCTTAGGTTCAGGTTAGATACACAGGTTTTTGGAACCAAATCTTTACCCAGATCTTATTGCTATTTAATCTTGGGAAATTTATTTTACCTCCCTAAGCCTTATTCTCCTTACATGCATTGTGGTGATTCATAGTACCCTTTATCACATGATTGCTTGAGATTAGGATAATTCTTGTGCAGAATTTTCCATAATATCTAACATATGGTAATATGCATTAATCTTACCTATTAGCCTTTATTCTTATTATTACAATGTTCTCCTCTGCATCTCTAAATTTATAACCATTGGGTAGGTCAATGGAACTATTAAAGTTTGGAACCTGGTAGAAGATTTTAAATCCAGTCCTGTATCCCGAGTCTCGCAGATAAGTGATTTAGAATTCCATTATTAGTTCATTAGCTGAGGATTAACTATATAGTCAGAGTTCCCCCAAATATCAATAAATGATAGGAACCACTTACATTTTTTAGTCAGATCCTCCAACTATATACAAAATACATCAAACAGATGCCTGTCAATAGGTAAATGGATTAAGAAATTGTGGTATACATAGACAGTGGATTTCTACTCTGCCATTAGAAAGATTGAAATTATGACATTTGCTAGTAAATGGATGGAAATAGAGAATATCATTCTCAGTGAAATTAGCCAGACTCAGAAACTCAAAGGTCAAATATTTTCTCTCATATGCAGAAGCTAGAGTAAAATAAAGGAAAGGGAGAGAGAAGGACAAGATAATATAAAGAACCAATAAAATATAAAATCATTGATGAGTGAAAGGAAATCTAATAGAGCAGTGGAAGGAGATGGGAGAGGGGAGGGACACTGGGAGGGAAAGGAGGGAAGGAACAGGGAGATTATGGACTGAAACTGATTTCCATGCATGTGTGAGTTTGGAGTTTGTCAGGATGAATCCAACTACTATGTATAACCATAAAGCTCTAATAAAAAAAGAAAAGAAAAGACATGAGTGTTAGTTTCATAAAATAAAGTACAGCTAGTTGGAAAATGTACTGATGCAAGATCAAAGAAATATTTCTGTAAAGTCAATTGAAATCCACATGGTAAAGCTTAGAAGATTCTGCAACATTAATGGGGAGAATAAGCAATTTTATGCTATTCAAGGATTAAATTATTGTTTGACTAAATCTTTAAATTTTCCCTTTGGGTTGACTCCTAGGTTTTTTTTTTCAATTTAATTAAAAATGTATGTTACTTTTACTGGAAATTATTTGGGAATACATTCTAGGTGAGTACAAAAAGTTTAAAAAATACTGAGAACCCCAGAAACCCATTGAACTATTAATATATTAGTGTTTTATTTAAAGATAATATTAAATATACTTTTGCATCTTTTAAAAATGGTATTTCAATCATCTTATGATGATTAGTTCATTCAAAAATACGTTTAGATTATTTCTCATGAATTTTCATTAGTTTAAGACCTGCTCATTCTTTTATTTTTTAAATTTATAACTTTATCTCTGCTTTTGCAATAACACCACTTTTGTTTAATTATAAACTACATGTTGCAAGAATTGCAACATCTAATTTAGGTACCTCTTGAGAAATCTCCACACAAGCGGCCAAATGCATTCTCTTGGCTTTGTTTGTCTTTTTCTAACTGAAAATTGGCACTCACTTGTCTAATTTTCAGTCTTACTTATGTGACTTTTCTTTATCTTTCAGATTCTGATTGCTTACTGTCTAAAACTGGGCAGAAATGATTAATCATAATTGGCATAAACGAGAAGCATCATGTGACAATGATTAATCTAGTAAGTTCGATTCAGAGAAATAGGTAAAATGACCAAATCAAACCTGGCAGTGTTTGTTACAGCAGCAGTTAGTGGTACTTGGAAATTTCTTAAAGAAGTATATACTTAAGAAAAATTATTCTTTAAGCATGTAAAGAATGGAAATGTACAGGAATTGTTTTCCCTTTTAGTAGCTCTTAGGTTTTACACTCTTTACCAAAGCAGTCTCTTTTTATTTTTTTATACTGCTACGTGCTGCTTTAAAACTCTTCTGTTACAGTTCTGCAGTGGAAATGACTGTTTTCAGATGGACTTCATTTAATTGAAAGTTGTATTTAGCTAGATTCTCTTTATATTATTAAATGAATTATCAATATCTTTCCCTGCTATGTGACATAATAAAATGGATGTTAATGGCTTGAGGTAATCCTCCTTCCTTTTAAAATGTGTTACCTTACCAATTTATCATTTTAGCCATTTTGAAACACACAATGCATTATTATCAACTGTGGTCATTGTGCAGTGCATTAGATCACTCAATGTAATCCTCAAATTTACCTGAAATTTTATAACCTTTTAATAATACCCCCAAACTTTCCCCATGTCTCCTTTTCTCCTCATCCTCATGATCCACTAATGAATTTTCTACTCTGTTTCCTTGAGATTGGCATTTTTTAGAATATACATATAAGTGAGATAAAATCATATTTGCCTTTTTGTACCTGACTTATTTTCCTTAATACAATGTCTTCTAGGTATCCATGCTGTTGCAAGTGATAGAATTTCCTTCTTTTTAAGGTCATATAGTATTCTGATATGTATATATAAAACACATTTTCGTTATCCATTCATCTATTTGTGGATATTTAAGTTGTTTCCATATCTTGGTTACTATGAATAATGCTGCAATAAATATAGCAGTGCACATATCTTTCCAATATGTCAATTTCTTTGGATATATAACCAGAGATGGAGTTGTTGAATCAAATGGTGATTCTACCTTTAGTTTTCTGAGAAACAGCTATATAATTTTTGTTAATAGATTTACTAATTTACATTCCCACCGGCACCATTCAAGGGTTTTCTGTCTCTATATCCTCACCCCAATACTTCATACCATTGATATTTTAGATAGCTATCCTAACAGTTGCAAAGTTTAAAGTACTACCCATAATGTTGACATATAGAGAAGAACAAAGCACAGTGCAGATTTAAGGTATTCTTCTTATTTTATATTTATTATTTATTTTACAGATCAGTGAGATTACTATGATATTTCCATATATGCATACACTGTGATTGATTATGTCTATCCCATGTTCTACCTTTGCCCCTACCCTATATTCTTCCTAGTCCCTACCAATCAGTCTTCTTCTTTCATCTCAACTGCATTTATTTATGCTTTAGTTCCCACATGTGAGAGAGAATATGTAATACTTGTTTTTCTGTGTCTGGCTAATTTTGTTTAATATGTGTGTTAGTTAGCTTTGTATCATCTTGACTGAAAAAACTGATGAGAATAGCCTAGAGGAGGAAAGGTTATTTTGGCTTGCAATTTTAGAGGTCTCAGTCCATGGTTGGCTGATTTCATTGCTCTAGACCCAAGGTGAGGCAGAACATCATGGCAGAAGAGCATGGTGGAGCAAAACTGCAGCCAGGAAGCAGAGAGAGAAAAGAAGCCAAGGGGAAAAGACATAATCTCCAAGGGCATGGCCCCAGTGACCCACTCCAGTCATGCCCCTCCAGTCTACAGTTACCACCCAGTATAGTAGTCCTTTCAAATTATTAATCCATCAAATGGAATCCACAAACTGTATTGTAGCTATCATAATCTAATCATTTTCCTCTGAGTATTCTTGAATTAACACAGGAGCTGTGGGGGGACACCTCATATCCAAACCATAATTTTCTCTCACTGGTCTCCCAAAGCTCATGTCCATCTCACAATGTAAAATGTATTTAGCCCATCTCCAAGAGTCCTCATAGTTTGAACAGTTCCAGCAATGCCCCAAAGTCCAAGTCCAAAGTCTCCTCTGAGAGTCCAGGGAAACTCTTGGTTGTGAACCTCTGTACAAACCAAAAATAAGTTATATACTTTCAACATGTAATGGCAGAGTAACTATTTCCATTATAAAAGGGGAAATGAGGGTATAGAAAGAAAGAATGGAACCAAAGCGAGACCAAAATCCAGCTGGGCAAACAAGTCCTTTAGCTCCATGCCCACCATCTGGGGAATATGGCCATGAGATCTGAGCTCCAATGGTTTTGGGCGGCCCTTCTCCTATAGCCTTTCTGACAGAAGCCCATGTGGCCTTCTCTTAGGCTTCCTTTGTCCATAGCCAGCCATTTTCTATTTTCCTCAGCAGACATTCCACATTACTGGCATCTATTAATCTCTGGGGTCTCCATTCAAGCTTCAGCTTCATTCTTACAGTG